CAAGTAACTAGATGGCATGGTGGCAGCTATGTTAGCACTGGGATGATAGGATCGCTGCTGTGGTTGTGGCGGCTGCTTCTTCAATAGTTTAGGACATTGAGACTTTCAATGTTCCTTTTGTTTGCCAAAGTTATACTCATCACTAGCAACTCTTACATAACATTTGTTCTTATTCTGTGTAAATGGTCGAGAGGGTACAACCAACATTGACGTGCTAGATAGAGGAAAAGATACTTCATCTGCAAGAGATTTCAAACGTGTTTCCTCAGCTACAAGTTCACTAATCACCGAATCAACTGAGGGAAGTGGAGTGTGATGCAAGATAGAGCCTCTACGTCCCTCAAAATCACTGCGAAGTGCCATAAAAATTGAACTAATCGTTGCCCCTCTCTAAAAATAATTTATTCCCCACATGCTTTCAGTCATGTTGATTCCGTATGAGTTAACTCATCCCAAATTGAATTCATAGCAGCATAAAACTCGATAATACTCATATTCTTCTGTTGCAATGCCCGTATATCAATCTCCACACATCTCTTTGCAAAGTTTGACTTAGTGTATAACTTCTGAAAGTGAGCCCAAACTTCCTTTGCCGTTTCAAACTTCGCTGACTGTGTACCAATGGATTGCTCAACAAAATTATGAATTCAAGTGAGAATTTTCGTATTTTTAACTCCCAATTAGCCGACACTGTCACATAATTTCTCAACAGTATTCTTGGGTTTTACAACAGTTCCACTTAGAGATGGCAATGGGGCAGTTCGCCTTAGACGAGGTCGAGGAGGGGCTGCCCCTTTTTTATTTTATTTTTTTAAATTTTCAATTAAAATACAAAGCAAATAATGTTCGAACTAACTATATCAATATCTAAAGCAAATACTCGAAATAAAAATGTCTAAAACAATTTATTTTTTTATTCTTCACGGGGACGGGTTTGGGGTGCCCCGCCCCGCCTCTAACCCGTCGGAGCCGGTTTTTTTGCCATCTCTAGTTCCACTAACATAGCTCCACAATCTTTTTTCCTTTAGAAAATTTTTCATCGCTGTACTTCAATACGAGTAATTTTTACCATTTAATTTGACACTAGAGAATTGAAGCGAATCATATCTTTCAATTGTCATCATCGAATCAACAAATAATTAACTACGAATCAAAGAAATCACCAATTCTAAGAAAAATCAACGACGATCAACGTACCATCACAAATTACAATGACGAATTATTGCACAAAAATTTGGAATTATTTTCTCTATTGTTGCCTGCGTCTCCGTGCGTAATTTTTTTCCTCTCTGCCGTGCCGTTTCTGCTTTCTTATTCCAAATTTCGCCGCCTTTTCTTTTTCAATTATGGTTCCCCAAAGTAGTCCCCAAAACGAGTCCAAAAGATCCACTTCAGTCGGCAGCTTGCCCTTTTAATTGTCTAGACTGCTGCCCTCTTTTAATTCCCAAAAGCAGCCAACTTTTCTCCTTAAAAAAAGACTCAACTTCTTGAATTTTATTTCAACTCAAATTAATCTAAGCACACTTTAATTCTAATCGATTTTCTTTCCTCCCACCCACTTCCTCAATTCTTTCAGTCGGCAGCAAGTTTCACTCAACTATAGACTTTGATACCATGTTAACAATATGAAATAACTTGAACCAATATAGCGAATCAATTCAAAAGGAGAAAAGAGGAAGAAAGTGTGAAAAATCCATAATCTATTGAGCCGTCAATTTTTTTTTGATTTTTCTTATGAAACATACAAGTTTATATATTATAAGAAAAATAAACAAAAAAGGAAATTAAATAAACTAAGTATTATACAATAATATTATATCTAACAATTTACTTATACTAGAAATTAACAATATGATGTGAAATTAAATGATAAAATTAATATAATTGATATTTCTATTGTACTTATTGGAAACGCATGTAACCATGTTCTCTAAATATAAATCTTACACTCTTTCAGTAAGGAATTGACAAGGATAAAATCCCATAATTAACAAGGAACAAAAAGTTAAAAGATGTTTTTTATTTGTCTCGAAAAGAAATCATTAACGACCTTCGATTAGTTGAACCACGTTATGAACATCTTTCTTTCTTTCTCTCACTCTCTTTATTTTATTTTTTTAATTTTTTGTGCCTATAAGCAAGTAGTATGTGTACGTAAAGAATCTATTACTTTAATCTTGGAAATTTCTTGTAGTGCCTTTGCTTTTTACCCTTTTTTCTTTCAAAATTCTTTGGATCAAAGATGTCTCGACCTCATATTTTTAAAATAAGGACGTCTCTTGATTTTTCTTGCATTCATACGAAATTTCTCCATTGAACTTCTCTATGAACTATGTAGTTGTAAAAGCATGTTTCAGCCCCTTTTTTGGATGAAAATGCATTTTGATATAGTATTTTTATGGAGAATGCGTGATTAAAAAATAAGGAAAAGTTTTGGGTTTGCGTGTAATATTATTTTATTGAAGAATGTTTGGTTGAAAAGAAAGAATATATATATATTTTTTGACAATAATAGTACCAAACAAGGACTAACTTTGTAATTCAAAATTTAAAAAATGTCAATATGGGGCAAATCATGCAGGCCCCTGTTCGAATTTAAAGGCGTCCGATAGAAGTATTCGATGGAACAATAAGGGTGCGTTTGATTGTAAGAGTGGAAAGAAAATGATTTACAGGGAAAATAATTGCTTAGAAAATATTTTGCAGAAAATTGTTAATTAAGTGTATTTGATTGGTATAATTTTTCACCCGAAATTTTTTTAAATTTTCTATTCATTTGACTTTGTTTTACATGGAACGTGTCTATTAAAGTGATAGTTTTTTCCACAATTGGTTATAAAATTTGTTTCCATTACCAAAAAGTTAAAAAAAGGAAAAAAAATTTGTTTCCTAAAAAATCATTTTTTTAATCAAAATTTAGTGTTCGTTTGATTTCATTTTACATGAAAATTGTCCATTAATATGAAATTATTTTTTACTATTGATATGACATTTGTTTTCATTACAAAAAAAAAAAAAAAAAAAAAAAAATTCCAGCCGCCGGGAGAATTTTTTCACATAAAAAAAAAAAAATTTCAGCCAGTCTGGGAAATTTTTTCCCACCAAAAAGGTTGGAAAAAATTTTCATCAATTACTAGGAAAATGCACACGTGTTGGGGTAAGGTGGAAACTTGCGTGTAATATTATTTTATTAAAAAATGTGTAATTAAAAATAAAATATATTTTTTGAAAATAATACCAAGGGCATAGCCTCTGTTTGGTCCGGATTAAAATCTGATTTTAATTCAAGTCAAAATCAAATAATCAACATTAACTATATCTTTCATGGATCCCACAACTTTTCAACCATACATTTTTAAAAAAATTATAATAATTTACTAAAAATATAATTTAAATTTCCACCAAATATTTGAGATCGGAATAATTCAAAATTTCTAGCGATTTTGAAGGGAGGGTCCCAAAAGTCAAACCTCCAAGTTGTTAGCCAATGACGCGGTCATATTTCAACCAATCTACAATTATAATAGTCAACAAGTGCGTCCTTAAAAGACGGTGACGGATACACACAGAAATTCTAATTTCACCCAAAACTTTAAAAAATAAATTTTAGCAAATAGACAAAATGATTGTGTTCAACAATTGAGTTAATTTAATCAATTGCAAGTGAACTTGCTATGGTTATTTCTTGCTCATTAAATATTTATAAGAGTCTGTTTGGTAAAGATTAAAATTCAATTAAAATTGAAAATATAGTCGTTATTGGGTCTCACTCGTCTAATAAAAGTCAACAATAACGATTAATTTTTCAATTTTAATCCCTGCCGAACACGCCCTTAAAAAGTTACAAGTTGCTCATTGAATTTTACTATGTGTTACACTGTTGCTACCTGCTCATCGAAATATAAATGTTTACTATGGTTATTACTTGCTCATCAATCTTTAAAAAGTTACAAGTTGCTCATTGAATTTTACTATGTGTTACTACCTGCTCATCGAAATATAAAAGTTTACTCGTTGCTCGTCCAAATTTGAACAAAATTACTCGTTATTCACTAAATTTTGCTATAAATAACATTAATGGAAATGATATGGAGGATTAATGAGTAATTTTTAAAATTTAGATAAACAAATGTTAAGTTGAATGGTCAAATTAACTAGTTCAACATTTCCCTAAGGATGTACCGTCACACGATTGCGAGATGTTGGCCGTCAAATCTGTTGACTCTCTCCTTTAATTTTCCATTTTCATCACGTGGACTGCTCCGCACAAATCGGGGCCGGTGGTTTCTATTTCCACCCTTTTCTTCTTTACTAGTCAAATCCAGTCTTGGGGAAGTTTGGACGAAACCTCTCCTTCACAGGGCTTGTTTGGCTAGACTTAAAAAAATTTTAATTATAAGATAAAATGGGTCAGTTCAACTAAGCAAATAGAGACGCAATTCAAAATCCAGTTCAAATATATATATATATGTAAAATTATGAAAAACCTAAATCCGTTAAAATAACCTAAAATGGGATCCTCCAAAAAATAAAAATTTACTTTAATTTTTGACTCGACTACTCGACGTTTAAGCTTTTATTTTTTCCTTGTCAATGTCCAGAACAGTGATATAAATAGGTTCGGAAATAAAAAGTTAAATTAAGTAATTTTGAAACGTGGCAAACATGGTGTTAATCTAGCTTCAAGCAGTGGGGCCCAAATTTTTATTTCTTGTACGAAATCCTGACGCACCACCTTACGTTATTTTATCAATCCCTCACAGCTTTCTCACTAATACATACAACCTTCAAATCTACAAATTTCCAGTCTACGTAGAACTTTTCTGTAGTTTCTATTCCCCCACCCTACCCACCCCTCCCAAACCATTTTATATAGACGTGCCCTTTGCGCTTGTTAAAGACTTCTCAGACTCTTGACATCCCAACAACTCTTATTATTCTCCACTGATTAAAATAATTTTAATTTCTTGATATTTCTGAAATTCTTTGTTTCTTGATTTATGGATAAAGGATGGGGTCTCACCCTTGAAAATTCTCGGTTTTTTGCTAAGAAGCCAGTTTTTGGATTTAATTTAAGCCCAAGGTTGAATCAAAGCCCTGGAATTATGTTTCCGGTGAATCTGAATGGCAGGGAGGAGCAGGTGGCTCCACCTCCGGCCGATGATAAACGCTTGGTGTTAGGTGAAGTAGACTTTTTTGCAGATAAGAAGAGATCCAATAATGATACTCATGTTTTGAAGAAGGAAGGTGTTGAAGCTGCTAGAAGGGAATTCAATGTAAACGTAAGTATTATCTGCTTATGCATACAATATTATTCAAGATATAATTTTGTATTAATTGGTTTTCTAATTTTTCCTTTAATTAATAAATAGACTGGTTTGCAACTTCTTACCGCTAACACTGGAAGTGATCGATCAACGGTAGATGATGGGATTTCATCTGATGTCGAAGATAAGAAAGCAAAAAAGGAGGTGAGAAAAATACGTGCTCTATGGACGAATTGTTGAATATTCATTCATTAGGTTCTGATTTCTAAAATTATCTTTTATTTTTTTATAATAGCTAGCAGAGTTACAAGTTGAACTGGAAAGAATGCAAGCTGAAAATCACAAGTTAAAAGGGATGCTTACTACGGTCACCAACAATTACAGTACACTGCAGATGCATCTTGCAACATTAATGCAACAGCAAAAGAATTCAAAAACAGAAAGCTCACAGGAAAACCAGGTAATTAATCAAAATCCCAATTTAGAAATGGTAAAACTTTGTCAAATCTTATATGGTCAGATGCTAATGTTTTACAATAATTCAGACTGTAGAGAGAAAATCTGAAGATAAGGAACAAGAAAATGGAGGATCAATAGTTCCTAGACAGTTCTTGGAGTTGGTCCAGGGTGATCAAGAACTATCTCATTCTTCATCAGAAGAAAGAACACTGTCTGAATCGCCGGCAAACAACAAGAAAAGGATTGGTAGGGAAGAGAGCCCAGCATCAGAAGTTTGGGCTCCTAACAAGGCTCCCAAATTGAATCCCTTTAAGTCCGTTGATCAATCCACTGAGGCTACCATGAGAAAAGCACGTGTTTCGGTTCGTGCACGATCCGAAGCTCCTATGGTATGCATCATACTCGTAGTTATGTTAATAAAATTTGATCACTCAAAACATTTTAAGCTCATAAATGAGATGGTTTCACAATAGTAATAACAATAAACCTGTTTGACCAATCAGATTTCGGATGGATGCCAATGGCGAAAATATGGACAAAAGATGGCGAAAGGAAATCCATGCCCACGAGCTTATTATCGTTGCACAATGGCAGTAGGCTGTCCAGTGCGCAAACAGGTATATTTATAAGAACCTTTATACTAAAAAAGTTTCCAACATTTATAGACCAACGATTTAATCCTATTTTGATTTTTTGTAATTTTCAGGTTCAAAGGTGTGCTGAAGACCGAACAATTTTGATTACAACCTACGAAGGTACCCACAATCATCCATTGCCACCGGCCGCCATAGCCATGGCGTCAACAACCTCATCCGCCGCTAATATGCTTCTCTCCGGTTCAATGTCTAGTGCAGATGGGTTGATGAATCCGAATATTCTTGCAAGAACCATTCTTCCATGTTCATCAAACATTGCTACAATTTCAGCTTCGGCTCCATTTCCGACAGTCACATTAGACCTTACTCAGCCACCCAACCCATTGCAATTCCAAAGACCGACACCCCCTACCCAATTCCAAGTCCCTTTCTCCGCCGCTGCTCCACCGCAAATGCCTCAAGTTTTTGGGCTTAGCCAATCAAAATTTTCAGGGCTCCAGATGTCTCACGACAGTACTGAAGCTGCCTCATTGCCAAACGAGTCCCAACCTCCACAGGCGCAGCCACATTCATCCTATGCTGACACGCTCAGTGCCGCCACCGCCGCCATCACTGCCGATCCTAATTTCACTGCAGCCCTTGCCGCCGCCATCACTTCCATCATTGGTGGCTCCAATCCAAACAACAGCAATACCAATTTGATAGCAAACAACAGTGCAGACGTAAACACGAATAATAGCAACAAGACCAGCAGCTTTTCAGGGAATTAATCGATGCGTAATCCAGTACCACTTTTTCACACTTGTATCAAATAGTTTTGTTGATTCGTCTTTTCTTGGGGGTTCAGAAGGAATTAACATGTTCATATTTTTTTGTTTTTTTGTAATTGGGGTGGATGGTTTACTGATAGGACATAAAAATTACTTTGTTTTTCTATTGTTTTATTAAGAATAATGTCATTCCAATATTATGCTACAAAAGAGAGAATACTGTTTGCTTTCTTGATTGTAAATTTCATTGTTTTTTCTATTTATTTGGGTTAGAAACATTTAGCAATTTTGTTGATAAACTTTAATTTATTCTAAATTAATCACTGAATTCATGTACAATCAAATGATGATTAACTTGAAATAAGACGAAACTATAAAATTTTTCAAAAGTTTAGTAAAAGTCGGTATATTTAGTGTTCTTTTGACATGTTTGAAAAACCAAATTACGTTTTAGATTATGAGAATTTGTTTTTGAATATGTTTGAAACGATTAAAGATCATCTCCAATTATTTACACCATATTTGGTGTGATTTTACACGGATGGTGTAACCATTAGAGATGCTCTAATTACATCAAATTTTATTTATAATTATTTAATTAAAATTATATATTATTCCTAAAACCATTAAATTAAAAATTATATTTAATGAACTAAAATATTACATTTATTACTAAATTAAAAAAAATTAATATTTAATGAATAATCTTAATTTATTGTATCAATAATTTATTACTTGATTAGAATTTAAAAATAAATATAACCATCACATTGAAACAATTATAAATAAATTCAAGTCTATTAAACTCTAAAAGATAAGAAAATGATATAAGATGGAACATAAATTTGAGTATATAAAATTACTCCAAATTGAGTGTGCGTTTTTGTGCCAAATTTGATGTTTTGCACTACGAGTATGTTTGGTAAAGATTAAAATCGATTAAAATTGAAAAATTAGCCGTTATTGTTGACTTTTATTAGACGTGCGAGATCCAATAATCACTATATTTTCAATTTTAATTGAATTTTAATTTTTCCCAAATAAGCTCTAATATATTTGGTTGGCTATTAGAGATGATATAAAAGAAAAGAAAAGAAAAGAAAAAATAATTGCCCTAAAAATCTTTATTTTATCTAAAGTAAATAGGAAAACAACAAAAGAGTGGACAAATTTAGACTGGTTGAAAGATCCAAGAAGATTAGAAGAATAATATTCAAATGGGTTAGTGAAGTCAACAAGTCCGGCCATATTAGTTTGACACGTAATTGGTTAAACTTCTACGCAACTTCGTTTGACCAATCAATAATGTCAGAAAATCACGTCCAGTTGTTTTATTATTCAAAGATTAGCCTCACGTAGCTGTCTACTAAAGACTCTCAACAACTCGCTTTTCAATCTCTCTCTCTAAACCAGTGGTGAAAAGTGGTTTAGATCCACCGTTTAAAATTGTCACAATTTCTTTGTTGTTTTTACAATTAAGAATTAAGTTACTTGTACATTAAGGACCTGTTTGGTACAGATTCTCATTTTCTATAGTAAATCAATTCTCACTTTCAACCACACATTCTTCAATAAAATAATATTTTTCATTACATCAATACTTTTTTCTTCTTTTTCAACCACACATTTCCCATCATATCACTATTCAAAAATCAATTATTCCCCCAAAAATCCCTACCAAACACACTTTTAATAACGTCATCAAATCAATTCTCATTTTCAACGACACATTTTTCAATAAAATAATATTTTCCATCACATCAATAATTTTTTCTTCTTTTTCAACCACACATTTCCCATCATATCACTATTCAAAAATCAATTATTCCTCCAAAAATCCCTACCAAACACACTCTAAATTTTATATTTTTGTTAACAGATGAATGGTGTGATAAAATTGTGATGGTTGTATTAAATATGTGAGATATAAAAGACGATATGAAATTGTGTCGAATGTAAATTTGGCCAATTAAAATATTAACAAAGATGTACATATATTAAAATTGTTGTTTTTAACACTTACCGGTAGTAATCTATATATATATAAAAACAGAAGTGCCGTCAAAAAAAATTTCCCGCCAAAATGTACTTTCCTCTTATGGAATTCCGATTTCAAACAGTCTGTTCGTCTACCTCACGTTTGCGTTTTATGTTTTCCAAAATTCAGTCCGTCTACCCATTAATCAAACATTACAGCATGCTTTTTAGTTTGACACGTAATTGGTTAAACTTCTACGCAACTTCGTTTGACCAATCAATAATGTCAGAAAATCACGTCCAGTTGTTTTATTATTCAAAGATTAGCCTCACGTAGCTGTCTACTAAAGACTCTCAACAACTCTCTCTCTCTCTCTAAACCAGTGGTGAAAAGTGGTTTAGATCCACCGTTTAAAATTGTCATAATTTCTTTGTTGTTTTTACAATTAAGAATTAAGTTACTTTTACATTAAATTTTATATTTTTGTTAACAGATGAATGGTGTGATAAAATTGTGATGTTTGTATTAAAAGCATGTTTGGGAGCAATTTTTGTGGAATTTTAATCAAAATTATAGCCGTTATAGTCAATCTGTGGGTCCCACCCGTGAGAGGGAAAGTCAAAAATGGTGGCTGATTTGATAGTTAACGGCTAGAATTTTGATTAAAATCTTGATTAAAATTTCTCCCAAATAGGGCCTAAATATGTGAGATATAAAAGACGATATGAAATTGTGTCGAATGTAAATTTGGCCAGTTAAAATATTAACAAAGATGTACATATAATAAAATTGTTGTTTTTAACACTTAACGGTAGTAATATTATCTTAATAAGAAATCATTTAGTCTTCTCATTAACTGTGGAGCAAAATTATTTTTAAGGTTCAATTTCTTCTGTACAAATTTGCGTGGCCTTTAATGATAAACGGACGAACAACTGATCGTGCTTTTACACTTCAGTCAATCTTTTGATAATAAATAAGTAATTATGAGTGATGATATATGTACATGGAAATTTACACGGCACAATTTCGTTGAATATTGGATAAAATATGAAAATCCACGTGAGCCACTGTACACCATTCTTTAAATTGGGTAATTATAGGGTAAACTATTAGTACACGATAGTTTGATAGGATTATTCCATTTGCTTGTGAACCGTGACTCAGCAATTAAAGATTTTTTTCTAATTAAAAGGTGGTAGTTTAGAAGATAGCTGTATATTAATTAGGCATCTGAGATACGTTATTGACTTCCGTGCACACGGTCGTCATGGTGTCCCCACACCAATAATCATTTTGTCCAACACATTTAAAAAAAAAAAGTAAAAGTAAAGAAAGTGGAAAGTTGAACTGACGTCGTGGGTCGGATCGGATCGTACTTGACAAACCGTACAGGTACAACAACTAATGTTTACCAAGTTAGTCCGCTTTTTATCATTTCTACATGCTTCCACGTGAGTTACTTAGACCAATGGGAACATACCTCCTCTTTCCCCTGCAATTAATGATGAAAGTGGACTCTGAGATTTTTGAACTTGTTGGGTTTAGGTGACTCGAATTGGCAAAACATAAGGAAAGGGTAAAAAGAACGTTGCCTGTAAAGTTGGAGGATTAAACTTGCAAATATGCGGTGATTGCAAATTTAGTCTACTTGCACTTGGAGGCTGAAAATGAGAGTCGAGGAAAAAGGACTCTTTGGCTGCTAATGAAATATTACCATTTGGTCATTGGAGTTGGCATAAGAAATTGGGTATATGTTTATAAAATCTCAAGGACACGATACAAAGAAGAAATCACACCAAAGGTGTGTGCATGAGCGAACGAAAAAGTTGAGAAAAGAATTAGAAACGTAGGTACATGCGTATGTGTAGCATCGGGGATGGATCTAGCATTGAAATTCAGCTCAAACGGACGTTGACCGGTCAATTCCGATAATCAATGATACAATCTCATTTCAAATTTATGATAATAATACAACTAATTTCTCATTCCAAATCAATGCATAATAGCACAAGACAATAAATTTACTGATTGCAATTTGCAGAAGAACAAAGTATGCCTAATTACCTATCAGGCTTCACTCATCAGTCATCAGCAAAGAAGTTGGACAAACATGAAATTTTTGCATTTCATTACATTCATGATTTAACATCAAATATAACATGACCAAAATAATTCATAAAAACTTAAAAAATGATAGTCTACTTAATCAAATACAACTTACGGTTTCACTTTCACTAAATCTCGCGACGGACAAACGGTACAACCTGACGGCGAGCTGGCTGGACTAGTGGTGGTGGCATGCGACAGCGACAAGTGAGAGTAAAACTCGAGAATTTACGGATTTAGGGATTGATTTCGAAAGAAGGGAGAATGAGATTTGGGTTGGGCTTATATATTATATAATTAAGGATTGAGCCAATAACAAATGACCCAATCCAATTACAAAAAAATGATTGGCTAGGCCGAAATTGGCCCTTTTTTTTTAAAGGATTATGGGCTGGGCCAAATTGGCCCAATTTCAAAACCAAAAAAAAAAAATAATAATAAATAAATAAAGAGATGGGATGAAGAAGACGAACTAGGCAAGCGGCAGCTGTTGGCGAACTGTCGAAGTGAACTCCCAAGACCCAATTGCTTCGACGGTTCGGCGGAGTCCAGCACGCGTGGTCACACCCTCGGCCGAGTGCTGGGTCTGTCCCTGTGTAGCATCCGTTGTGCATTGTGTTAAAAAAAGTGAGAGTGAATAAAATATTTTTGTATAGTGTTTTAAGTTCATAAAGTCTACATTTAATTTGTATTTTCCTTTATATTTTTTTTTTTCATTTCCACTGCAATCACTTTGCCTTTAGGTCCCCCGATCTTGACATTAAATTTGGATTGAAGTTGAGTGGAATGAGTCCATGAGGGTAGATCAAACTTTTTATAGTAGAAATCAAGCAGAATACGATGGCTCTCCATACACTAAGTTTAAAATAAAAAGGAATAGATATGAAACCAAGAAGTGGTAATTATATGAAAC